AGCTGAATGAAAACTTAGAGGAAACCTTAAGAGACCCTAAGCTTTCACCTCTGGCTGCCTTTTAGCTTCTGTGCAAGCAAGAAGTGAAGGCAAAGGCAGATTTTTAAATAGTGGCTAAGAATTGAAAGAACCTGGAGAGTGTTCCAAACACATATTTTGGCTCCAAGAATTTAAGGAAATTTCTGTTAAATCACTAGCTGACCACTAAGTTAATGGAATAGAGACTTCTGTGACCATGCTTGACAAAGAATATGATATTTTTTTAGAAAGAATTTATAAAAGTCACTAAAGAAATCGCTAAAACCCACTCAAGCAGCAGCACCAAACCCTAAGAAGACAAATATGATTTCCAGAGTTACCACATTATACTATACAAAATGTATAATTTTTTTTTAAGATTTTATTTATTTATTTGAGAGAGAGAGCGCATGAGAGGGGAGAAGGTCAGAGGGAGAGGCAGACTCCCCATGGAGCTGGGAGCCCAATGCAGGACTCGATCCTGAGACTCCAGGATCATGATCTGAGCTGAAGGCAGTTGCTTAACCAACTGAGCCACCCAGGTGCCCAAAATGTCAGTTTTCAACAGTTCTCAACAAATTTTGCTTTCAGAGAGCAATGTATGGTCCATTTCGAAGGAAAAAGAAGAAATAGAAAAGCTCAGACATTACACTTAACTACAGACTTTAAATCAATTGTCTTAAATATACTCAATAACTTAAAGGGAATCATAGGAAAAGAACTCAAAGGAAACAAGAATGATGTATGAACTAATAGAGAATATCAACAAAGAGATAGAAATTTCAAAAAGTTATCAAGTAGAAATTCTGATACTGAAAAGTACAATTGCCGAAAGGAGAATTTCACCAAAGAGGTCCAATAGCAGATTTGAACAGTCAGTAGAAAAAGAATCCATGAATTTGAAGATAGGTCAATTAATATTATCCAGTGTTAGAGAAAAAAGAATAAAGAGAAGTGAAGAGAGTTGAAGATATCCTTCTAACATCATTAAGTGCACCAACATATATATGATAGGAATTCCAGAAGGTAAGGACAAAGAGAAGAAAGCAATATTTGAAGAAACAATGGCTGAGAACTTCACATATTAATGAAATATGTAAATCTACACTAGGATAAATTTACAGATACCTACGCATTATAATTAAACTGTCAAAAACTAAGACAAAGAATCGTGAAAGTAAGTGTTGCTAGTAGTCTTACCCTATTTTAAAAAATGCTAATGAGAGGGACGCGGCGGGGTGGCTCAGTGAGTAAAGTGTATGCCTTTGACTCAGGTCATGATCTTGGGTCATGGGATCAAGTCCTGCATTGTGTTCCTTGTTCAGCAGGGAGCCTGCTTCTCCATTTGCCTGCTCTGCCTGCTGCTCCCCCACTTGTGTTCTCTTTCTCTCTCTCAAACAAATAAATAAAAATTTTTTAAAAGTTGGGGGGGAGTCCTTAAGGCTGAAATGAAAGGACACTAGGTGGTAACATGAAGTTATATGAACAAATGACACCAGTAAACGTCACAACACTGGTAAATAAAAGCCAATGTGATTGTATTTTGGGTTTCTAACTACTTTTTTCCCCCTGTGTGATTTAAAAGACAAATGCATAAAATAATTATAAATCTGTGTTAAGGGGAACACTGTATAAAGATGTAATTTATGAAAACATTTAATGAGAGCCCTAGAGGAGTAGAGTTTGTTTTAATATTATTGACGCTAAGTTGGTACTAATTCAAACTAGATTGTTATAAATTTAAGATGTTAATTGTGATCTACAGAGTAGCCTACTGAGAAAATAGCTGTTTGGTTCCATTTATATGAAAGATCTAGGTGACTCCATAGAGACAGGAAGTAAATTAGGGGCTAGAAGAAGCAGGGCAGTGGAGTGTGACTATTGAGTGGGGAAGGAGTTTTCAAATGGGGTGATGAAAAAGTTCTGGAATTAGATAGTGGTGTTGGTTATTTAACATTGTGACTGTACCTACTACCATTGAGTTGTACACTTTAAAAAATTTTATGTACAGGAGCGCCTGGGTGTTTCACTTGTTAAGCAGCATGCCTCAGGTCATGATCCTGAGCAGGATCAAGGTCGTGTCCCACATCGGGTTCCCTGCTCAGCAGGGAGTCTGCTTTTCCCTCTAACACTCCCCCATCTCATGCTCTTTCTCTCTCTCTTTCTCTCTCATTCTCTCTCTTAAATAAATAAAATCCTTTTAAAAATAATAAAGTAAAATAAAATTTATGTACATTTTACCATAATTTTTTAAAAATTATACAAACAGAAAGAGTATGGTAATGGCTTAAAATAGACATAAATATCAATGGAATGAGATTGAGAGCCCAGAAATAAACCCATGTATTTATAGTCAACTGATACTCCACAAGGTGTGAAGACCATTCTGTGGTCAAAGAATAGTCTCTTCCACAAACAGTGTGTGGTCAACTGAATATTCACATGCGAAAGAATGAATTTGGATCCCTACTTCACATTATATACAAAAATTAACTCAAAATGGGTCAATAACCTAAATGTAAAAGCTAAAACTACCGAAGTGTTAGAAGAAACCTAGTAGTAAACCTTCATAATGTTGGATTTGGTGGTGGAGTCTTAGATATGACATCAAAAGCTCAAGCAGATTGAACTTCATCAGTATTAAACCTTTCGTGCTTAAAGCACATTATTGAGGTAGTAGAAAGACAATGTACAGAATGGAGAAAACATCTGCAAATCATACCTGATACAGATGTTATATACAGAATATATGAAGAACTAAAAAAACAAAAAAAAAGCATATATAAAGAACTTTTACAACTCAATAACAAAAGGACAAATAATCCAATTCAAAAAATAGGGAAAGGATTTGAATAGACATTTCTCCAAAGGAGGTATATGAATGGCCAATAAACATATGAAACGTGCACAACACAGCATTGTTAGGCACTAGGGAAATGTAAATCAAACCATAATGAAATATAACTTCACACTCACTAGAATGGCTACCGTTTTTTGTTTTTTGTTTTTTGTTTTTGTTTTTAAGATTTTTTTACTTATTAGCATGAGCAGGGGGAGGGGGCAGAGGGAGAGGAAGAAGCAGATGCCCCGCTGAGCAGGGAGCCCATCACAGGGCTGATCCCAGGACCCTGAGATCATGACCTGGGTTGAAGGCAGCCACTTATCAGACTGAGTCACCCAGGAGCCCCGGCTATAATTTTTTTTTTTAAATAGGAAGATAAGTGTTAATGACTGTGTAGAGAAATTGGAACTTCTATACATTGGTAGTAGTAATGTAAAATGTTGTAGCTGCTTTGTGAAACACTTTGGCCATTCCTCAAAAACTTCAACATAGAGTTTTGATGTCACCCAGCAGTTCCACTCCTAAGCACATACCCAAAAGAATTGAAAGCAGATAGTCAAACAAATACTTGAACATGAGTGTTCACAGTAGCACTGTTCTCAATAGCCGAAAGCTCAAAACAACACAGATATCTTTTAATGGATGAATGGATAAACAAATCGTTATGTATTCAATGCAATATTATTTGGTGATTAAAAGGAAGTATTAATTGATGCTTCAACATGGATGAACCTAGAAAACATGTTATGTGAAAGAAGCAAAACCCAAAGACCCACATATTTATATTGTCTGGTTAAAATGGTGAATTGATGTTACATAAATTTTCCTACAATCAAAAGTGATAATAAAGTTCCATAGGAAAAAATAAAGAAGGGCAAAAAAAGCTGTTTTGGATTACAGAGGTTGAAGAGACAGGACAAGTAAGCACACTTAACAATTGTGGATTGCATCTTGGGCTGGGGTAAATAGTTATAAAGGAAATTATTGGAATAGTTAACTAAATTTAAAAGAATGGATGAGATAATAGTATGTATCAGTATTAAATATCCTGGTTTTATTAAATTTGTACTCTGATGTGTAAGAGAATGTCTTTGTTCATAAGAAGTATATAGTGAAGTATTTAAATATAAAGGGATGTGTGTATTGAACTTTCAGAGGTATAAAAGAATGTTTATATAAAATGATAAAGCAACTAAGGTAATTGTAAACTATTGGTGAATGTAGGTAAAATGTATAATGAGGGAAAAAAGTATAATTTCTTATATTGATCTTTCCACTTTTCTGAGTTTGAAATTATATCAAAATTAAAAGTTGGCAACAGAATTAGATTTCTTTTTGTCATCTTTGGAACAGCAGCATAGTCCAGATGATTGTTAGAAAAAAATACTGCTAGATATCCTCCTTTGTCTTAGTTGACTCTTTAAAAGACTTTTTTGTGTTTCTCAACTTCTGGATCCCAGTATTTATTTTATTGGCTTATAGCAATCTCTGTACGATCATTACATAATTAATGTAAAGTACTCAGCTTTTATACGTATTTATTGTTCTAGCTAGTAATGTTATGCCGTTGGAGCATGTTCTCATTTTATGTATTTTTTCTTATTCACATACTTTATTTTTATGGTATCTTGGGTCATGTAAAAATGTAACCGTTTATCTCCCTTTTTTGAGAAATTAATATGTTAAGTTCCCAGTGAAAGGCTTTGCTGTTCTAGTTCTCTTCCAGTAGCTTTTTTTTTTTTTTTTTTGGTCTGAAATTTGTGTTCAGTCTCTTGGTAGAAGATCAAGTGTGATATGAGATCTAACCTTAATTTGAACACATTGGACTATGTGTTCATTTTTGTCAGTTCAAAGAAATCTCTCAGTGCTGTCAAGCAGGACCATGCTTTCTGTCCACCACAGATGAGTCAGAGAAGTCCTTTCCTACCTAGAACGTGCCATCAGAACCTCACTGCTTTGTTAGCATTCAGCTATGGACTTTTTAACCTGTTTATAAGGTTATTGTTTCTAAGCGAATACCCAATAGAGCCTATTTTGGAAAGGTTTATTAAGAAGACAGTGCTGATTCATTTGGTCCTTGAATTTTCAATTGGTTAACGAGTTTTCTTTCTTTTGTGGTGTATGATGGGATCTTCACTAGACAGAGGTAACCTATTGGATAGTTGTGTACCTGGATGCTGGTGTGGTGGTGCTTGTTGATTTAGTTTTCATGACACTCCTGAGGTTGTGCTTGCAATGCTGCTGCTTATTTTGTGCTTGCATGACATTATTACTTTGATTGCTCTTTGTTGTTTTGGGTTCTTAAAACCTCCTATTTCTGTTTTTGGTACCCAGAATAATTCTTTAACTATCTTTAGTTGGTCTAGAATTTATGGAAATTAGTTCCAAGGATCCTTTTCAGTTTTTGAAAATATCTTCAGTGTCACCATTCAGTTTATCATTTGGCTAGAAATTCAGAAAACAGAGTGGCTTTGCTTAAACATGCAGGAGGAGACCACTTGCCAGACACACCATTACTGAGGCTAAGAATGAACTCTGTGAGTTTTATAGATTAAATAAAATTAATATATACTTAGAATAAAATCTAAGTGTTAGGAGAGTTTCATCAAATAGCTAAAACTTAGGCACCTCCAGCAAGGTGTCAATAATACAACTAAATTAAATCATGCCTAAATCTTAGCATGCATGTCTGATTTGCCGTTATCTTTCAGAGGTGCTCTTTGCTCTGCAAACTGTCCTACATTCCAAACCTAAGATTCTTGGGGTCAAAAGGTAAAAATTAAAATTAGTATTTCAGAAATTAGTTTTATGAGCATTTGTGTGGTCCTTGAAAATAGTTGCTTACTTACCCATTTATGATCCCAAGTAGTATAGTTTTTCTTGGGCAGTTAGCTGATTTTGGGCAAATTGTACTGATTTCATTTTGTTTTGTTTTGGTTTTCCTACTTTATATGCCTCTACAGAAAAAAGGTGGATTGTTTTTATTTTAATTTTTTAAGCTTTAATTTTAAATCCAGTATAGTTAACATACTGTGTTGTATAAGTTTCAGGTATAAAATATAGTCATTCAACAATCCAAATGGATTGTTTCTTTGTTTTGTTTTGTTTTTTGTTTTTAAAGATTTTATTTATTTATTTGACAGACAGATTACAAGTAGGCAGAGAGGCAGGCAGAGAGAGAGAGAGGAGGAAGCAGGCTCCCTGCTGAGCAGAGAGCCCGATGCAGGGCTCCATCCCAGGACCCTGGGATCATGACTTGAGCCGAAGGCAGAGGCTTTAACCCACTGAGCCACCCAGGCACCCCTAGGTGGATTGTTTTTAAACCCTAGAAACAAAACCAGTCCCGGAATGAGCCAGTATATGTCAAATAGCAGGAGTTCATAAAATTGAAATTATTTTCTAGTGTTCATATTAAGTCAGTGTTGAAACAGACAAAATCATCTTTTGTCTTATAATTTTAATCATCTTGAAAACTGTAAAGGATCCATTAATTTGGAATGGCCATCAGAGAATTGCTTATGATAAATAGCATAAAACTGTTACATAAAAGTGGTGATTGATCTCTGTGTTCTCATTCTGCTATGTCTTCTTTTTCTCTCTTGGTGGGACCCATATATAATAGAAAATTGCCCAGGAACGAGAAAAATTTGCTGATGAAGGCAGTATATTTTACACGCTTGGAGAATGTGGACTCATATCTTTTTCGGACTACATTTTCCTCACAACTGTTCTTTCCAGTAAGTATAAATTTTTCTTTTTATTCGTTTATAGGGAGCTTACAGGACTATGAAAAAAGTTGATTGGAGGGGAAACAACATGTTTGTAGAGTTAATGAATTATAAGTTACATATAATTTCATTTGTTTGAATTCTGTGTAACTTATATATAGAACCACCTGAGAAAAAGGAAGAAAAATAAAGTATCAAAGTAAAGGTAAGGAAAAAAAAAAAACCCTAAAAGTTAAATCTGCCTTTAAGTGATTGAAGCCCTGTTATCTGTGAAAATAGATTATACATTGCCTGGTGTTATATAGCCTTTATTAATGTTTCTACTTCCCCATTAAAACACATATTGATCTATCATTTCTCCATTGAAGAAGAAAATTGGCTCAGTTTTTCTAATTGGGTTGAATATTCACTTTTGAATCTTAGAGGATTACTCCTTAAAACACAAAATTCATATTTGACTCATTTAAAACACTGATGAATTGCTGATTTTTTTTAAACTAAACAATTTATTTGATAAATACGCTACTCTATATGTTTTTTTTTTTAAACCATTCAGAAAAACCAAAAAAAGTATGTTTCTAGCTTTCTCTGTATATTTTATTAAAATCTGTCTAACTTGGGGCACCTGGGTGGCCCAGTCAGTTAGATGTCTGTCTTCACCTCAGGTCATAATCACATGGTCCTGGGTTTCAAGCCCCGCCTTGGCTTCCCTGCTCAGCAGGAAGCCCGCTTCTCCCTCTCCCTGCTGCTCCCTCTGCTTGTGCACATGCTTAGTCTCTCTCTCTGTGTCAAATAAATAAATAAAATCTTAAAAATTAAAAAAAAAAAATCTACCTAAACTGAACCAAAGAGATCTGATTTGTATGTTTGAAAGAGGTGATTCTGAAATCTTTTTCAGGTGTCACTTATCAAACAAAAATAACTGCCTCTTCCTCCCTTCTCTAGGCTAGTCATCTGTAAAGATAAAACTTTAAGGTAGTTTGTAATAAATGACATACACAATAGACAGTTCCTGCCATAGCTCTTCTGACTATTCTTACCCTTCTTCCCTCCACTGACAGAAAAATGAAGAAATATAGGCTAATATGCCTTACCACAGCTGTCTTTGGGATACCAAAGTGTTTGAATAAATTCATGTGGTGGACCAGTGCTCTAACAATGTAGCTATGTATCGATTTGTTACGAAGATCCAGAATAGTGAGCTAAAAAAAAGAACACTTATGATCTGAAGTTGAGTATTGTTAAAGCTAGTTGTTATTTTGGTAGGGCATGGTTTTCCACAGTAGACTTCAGTTCAGATCTTGGCCCACCACTTCTTAGCTTTGTGATTAGGGGCAAGTCAGTGAACTTGTTCATCTGCTTTGTTTGCAAAGTGAAGGTGGCAATAATATCAAATGCAAATTACTTATTTGAGGATTATAATATCATGGATATGAAGTACCTAGTTCAGTGCCCAGTATTTAGTACGTTTCCAGTTCTGCCTGGGTTTTTATTGTTTTTTTTTTTATATTTATTTATCTATTTGACAGAGATCACAAGTAGGCAGAGAGAGGGGGGAAAGCAAGCTCCTCACTGAGCAGAGAGCCAGATGCGGGGCTCGATCCCAGGACGCTTAGATCATGACCTGAGCCAAAGGCAGAGGCTTAATCCACTGAGCCACCCAGGTGCCCTTGCCTGGGTTTTTATTCTTGATATCCTATCACAGAATGCCATTTCATTCCTGATTTTGAAAGATCCATAAATCTTGTCATTAAAAAAAAAAAAAACAGCAGAATTGATAGGAGTTTTTAAGCCTTTTTTGTGACTGTGAATAGAATTTGCATTCAATAGGCATGATATGTCAGAAAATACTACTTTAAATGAAGAGACCAGCTTAGAGAACTGTACTGATAATACTGTGTGCAATGGCAGTAGTCCCTGTAAATGTCTGTTGAGCTGAAATGAGATTTTAATTTATAGCTACTACTCAGTCCTCTTACCTTCATATCTTTCAAAGCATCAGAAGGACCACAGAGCCAAACCTTCAGATTACCAAGCACACTGCATAACCCCTTTAATTCAGCTGTTTAAGGCAGGTAAAATCGCACTGACCCATAAATTCTGGGAACCACTCCAAGTACCTGTACTGGTCTAGGCACCTTTGCTTTTTGGTGGTCAGCTCCTAGCTTAAATATAGTGGGTGATTTACAAAAAGTACTTAGTATTACAATGTCACATACAGTTCACTCTTGAACAACTCTGGGGTCAAGGGTGCTGATACTCTCCCCAACCCCCACAGTTGAAAATCTATAAAAAACTTTTAATTCCACCAAAACTAACTACTGATAGTCTACTGTTGACTGGAAACCTTACCGAAAACATAAATTCAATTAGCACATATTTTGTGTGCTATATGTTTATATACTGTACTCTTACAGTAATGTAAGCTGGAAAAGAAAATGTTTTTAATACAGCCATAAGGAGGAGGAAATACATTTGCAGTACTGTACTGTATAAAAAAAAATTCACATGTAAGTGGACCCCCATAGTTCAAGCCTATGTTGTTCAAGGGTCAAGTGTACTTTCTGTATTGTCAGGAATGAGAAAATACAAGGATATGATTTTGAGGTTTTCTCTTTACATCAGTGGTTTTAAGCATTTTGATGATTATATGCCTCTAGTGTTTCTTTTTTTCTTTTTTTAAAGGTTTAATTTATTTGACTGACAGAGATCACAAGTAGGCAGAGAGGCAGGCAGAGAGAGCTGGGGAAGCAGGCTCCCTGCTGAGCAGAGAGCCCGATGCGGGACTCGATCCCAGGACCCTGAGATCATGACCTGAGCTGAAGGCAGTGGCTTAACCCACTGAGCCACCCAGGCACCCCGCCTCTAGCGTTTCTTAACTTAGCACTATTGATGTTTGACGCAGGATTAATTTATTGCTTTGGGGCTATCCTGTGCATTTTAAGAGGTTTAGCAACATTCTGGGTTTCTACCAGCTAGATTCCAGTAGCACACCTGTTCCCTCTCTCAATTGTGGCAATCAGAAATGTCTTCAGGATTGCAAAATACCCCTGGGGGGTGGGGATAGGAAGGAATCATCCCTGGTTGAGAGCCACTGCCTAGTTTGAGACAAAGTTTTTTGTTTGTTTCATTTGTGTTATTATGTACATTGATTTAGCATTCTTCGTGTTTTCTGTCTCGGGGTTCTTTAACATTTTAGGTCTGTGGTTTTATACGTTTCATCCAATTTGGAAAAAATTCAACCATTATTTCTTGAGATACTTTTCTTCTCTTTTGGGGACTTCAGTTACACATATATTTTCCTCACATCAACCTTATAATGTTTGTACTATTATTATTTTCATTTCACAGGTGAGGAAATTGATGCATACAGAGGGTTACATACAAAAAATTTGTTCCAAGTTCCAGACTAGGTAGATGATTCAGGGTTTGAACCCAGGCCAACTGCACCATCTAGGCTCCTGTTGATTGGCTATATGTCTATGGTCACATGTTTAGCAGTGATAAGCCATAACTTACATAGTGCCTCTTCTTTCTCTCAGACTGTCAGAAGGTTGGTCATAAACTCTTCTGTAGGTAACGGGCAGTTCAAGCATTCTTTTAATCTGAACATTGCACATTGCATTGTCCACTTACCTAGCTGACCACTGTGGGGGAAGTGTGCCATAGGAATTATACTGAGATCAGTTCTTTCCCATGTTCTAGCTTGCTGCTAGGATGATAGGAAATGAGGCTCTCAGTGGATCATCTTCCTTGTGGTTAACAAGATTTCATTACAATATAGTCAAACTAAATGGTTCCCAAATCATCCTACAGGAGAGAATGCAATTCTTTAAACATCAGAAGATGTGCCAAGGAGTGGTTTGGGACAAGGGGACGTGAATTAGCGTTTTTATTAATCTATTAACTCTGGTGGACAACAGGGGCTGTTCTGATTTCTAGCAGAAAACCAGTGGAGCAATGTAAAACAGCATAACCCAGACAGTGCAGGACTGTCGTATTTCTAAATAGCTGGGGTTTTTTTCCAAAATTGATAGACTCAGTATTGTTCAAGAAATTGCCATCATTTTGAAGAACATGAACTCTGTGCCCAAATGAATTGACATTTAGGACCTCCACATACTTTAAAAGCTCTACTATGTTGTCTAAAATAAAAATTGACAGCTATACATAGCAAGTCATTCATTTCCCTTCTTGATTTATAATTACTGCTGCTAAAAATAAGAACAAGAAAGCTGCTCTTCTGGGATGCTTGACTGGCTCAGTCAGGGAAGCATGCAGCTGTTGATCTCGAGGTCATGAGTTTGGGCCACACATTGGGCATAGTACTTTAAAAGAAAAAAAAAGAGTGGGCAATGATGTAAAATAAAGCTAGATACCCTTATTAAAGAAATGAAGAAAGAGAAAGGAGGAAGGGAGAAAAGAAAGAAGCTTTTCTTTACAAAGCATATTATATAAATAAATATTTAAAAAGCATGTTATTGTAATTTGACCTATTAAATAGAGTCAGTTCTCCTTATTTAAACTTTTTTAGAAGTTTGATTTTTAGCTAAACAAGAATATCTTGGACACCCACCAAGAGTAACAACCAATTTGGCAGAAATATTGTGTACTTTTAATCACCAGTGGCATAATTTCTCACTCTAATCTGTATGTGCTTTGGATAATGGGGGCCCTCTTTGGCCAACTGAAATTTTTTAAACACTTTTAAAAGTTTTAAACACTGTCACACACACACACACACACACACACACACACATACATATATACCTCGTAAACCCCTTTCCTACTTTATTTTTTTCTCCTTGGCACTTAGCATTTAACGTTCTATAGAGTTGATTTCTTTTTCTTATTTATGTATGATTACCTAGAATGTAAACTGCATGACAGTGATCACAAGTTTATAATGATATTCACTACAAATTTGCAATGGAATTCACTATAGATGTATCTATTCCACATAAAGCATTGAGGCAAAGTAACAAAGCAAGACTATAACATTTTTAAAA